GCTGGAGTGCAATGGCGCGATCTCGGCTCACCGCAACCTCCGCCTCCCGGGTTCAGGCAATTCTCCTGCCCCAGCCTCCTGAGTCGCTGGGATTACAGGCACACGCCACCATGCCCAGCTAATTTTTTGTATTTTTAGTAGAGACGGGGTTTCACCGTGTTGACCAGGATGGTCTCGATCTCTTGACCTCGTGATCCACCCGCCTCGGCCTCCCACAGTGCTGGGATTACAGGCTTGAGCCACCGCGCCCGGCTAAATATCATGATATCTTAAAGATGAGAAACACTTTTCTTTTTTTGAGTTAGGGTCTCACTCTGTCACTAAGGCTGGTGTGCAGCAACACAATTTCAGCTCACTGCAACCTCGACCTGCTGGGCTCAAGTGATCCTCCCACCTCAGCCACCCAAGTAGCTGGGACTATAGGTGTGTGCCACCATGCCCAGCTAATTTGTTGTAGAGATGGGGTTTTACCATGTTGCCCAGGCTGGTCTTGAACATCTGAGTTCAAGCGAGCCTCCCTCCTGGGCCTCCTAAAGTGCTGGGATTACGAGTGTGAGCCATCATGCCCAGCTGAGAAACACTTCTAAAACCAAATACATATCATTGACTAATATATTAAATTATATAACACTTTATTTTAGGGTTTAAAAAATATCCTGGACTTTGGAAAATAAAGTAAAATGAGGATGGAACAGACTTCGGCTCTGCTAACACTGAAACTCCAGTCAAGTTGTAAACTGAGAAAGAATGTGTTGGAACTAGGAATTGCCCCATAGTCTTCACAGGTGAGTATGATGGATTAATGAATGGAAGTTCAGGAAACATTTCTTACCTTCACCTCAGTCCTTCATGCCCTGACTGAAGTCAAACAGTCACTGTGATCACTGTTCAAAGTGTAACCATTGAACAGCTGTAACCATTTAAGCTGTTAGCAGGTTTCCTCTGGAAAGGAAGTGGGCTCAGATCTTCAAATGCTAGGAGAGTCACGGGAGCAGAGATGATCTGTCTTGCTTCAGGGCTAGCCTTGCTTTCATGAGGTCTCTAAAATTTTCCCGTTTTAAAGAATCTTACTCTCTTACCAAGAATTAGCTCGATATATTTCGGAGAAAAACTAACCCTCACACCTTTTTCCATTGCATTGGCATTTTGTTGAAGTGACAAAAGTATTTTTTTTTTTTTTAAATACCAACTAACCACAAACCGATGTGCAGAAATTGGCAAGCGAAACACAGACAATCGGAATTTGAAAATCAAACCAGAAAAAAAAGAAAAAAACCTAAGTCCAGGAGACATGCAAGCAATTTGATAACTCACAGAGTATCCTCTTCATGTTTATAGGGTAAGACCCATGGACCAAACTTTAATTTTGGTAGTGCTCTGTAAAAATTACACAAGAGCCTGTTAAACCAAAATGCTGCTTGAAAGTGTTATCTTTGGTGATATGTCACTGATGCTGGATTTTTAAACCTCCTATCTTAAACACATGACTCATGTAGAGATTATATTTTGTCATAAGACTTCCTACTTCCTATTTGTGCTTAGTCTATTTCATAGCTTATAGCAATTATTATGGGACCATAGTTGGAGTTGAAATGTAACCAAAAATTATTATTCTATGAATATATTAAAGTTTAGCATAAAAATAGTTTGTAAGACTCTTGTTACCCAAATTAGTATTTAACATCTGACATGGACCAAAAAAATGACACATCAAAACAGAAATATAGCTAGGTAATCAAATCATATGTAACATCTATCTTTATTAGTATATATATGTGTATAATTTTTTTTTTTTTTTTAACAAACAGGGTCTCACTCTGTCACCCAGGCGGGAGTGCAGTGGTGCAGTCTCAGCTTACTGCAACCTCTGCCTTCCAGGCTCAAGTGATTCTCCAGCCTCAGCCTCCCGAGTAGCTGGGACTACAAACACGCCACCATGCCTGGCTAATTTTTGTATTTTTTTGTAGAGATGGGGTTTCACCACTGTTGCCCAGGCTGAGCTCAATTCCTGAGCTCAAAGTGATCCATCTGCCTCAGTCTCCCAAAGTCCTGGGATTACAAACTCAGTCTCTTTACTAGTATATCCTATTTACAACTCACTCTCTCTCTCTCTCTCTCTCTCTCTCTCTCTCTCTATATATATATATATATATATATATACATATTTTAAGATGGGGTTTCACCATATTAGCCAGGATGGTCTCAATCTCCTGATCCCGTGATCCACCTCCCAAAGTGCTGGGATTACAACTATGAGCCACCATGCCTGGCCAACTATAGTTTATTACTTGTTTCTAAATATTGCTGTCTTTTGCTAGGAAACTTAAAACCTTAAAGAACATCATTTGTGAGCTCCCAGTTGGCACAAATTACATAAAGTACTCTACACATATTTTTATTTTCTTAACTTTTTGTTATAACAAGTGAAAAATGTGAAAATCAACTGAACAAGCTTTTATGTTGAAAAGTATGCTTAAACGATCCTGGTGATCATGGTGTTCTAGTAAGAAAAGTGCTTTGCTAGCATATGGCACATGAATATTTGAAATCTTGCTACTCTTTTCTTATATTCTGCCCTGAACCCAAATGAAGATTAAAAAGAAAAAAAAGGTAAAAGTAAGAAAGAACCTTTGGTGACTCAGGTGGCCTCAGATATACCAGTCACAAAAACTTGCAAGCAGGCTCTAGAAGACCTCACTGCATCCTTATGTTAGAGTCTTAAACAGTCTACACCAGGGGTTGGTAAATGTTTCCTATAAAGCACCAGATAGTAAATATTTTATGGTACTATGCAACTCTCCACAGTAGCATGGAAGCAGCCATAGACAATATGTAACTGAATGAGTGTGTTGTGTTCCAGTAATACTTTATAGATACAGAAATTCACTTAAAGTCCATATCATTTTCACATGCCATTAAATATTATTCTGGTTTTTTTGGGAGGGGGGACAGGGTCTGTCACCCAGGCTAGAGAGCAGTGGCACCATCATGGCTCACTGCAGCCTAGACCTCCTGAACTCAAGTGATCCTCCCATCTCTCAGTCTCCCGAGTATCTGGGACTATAGGCATGTGCCACCATGCCCAGTTAATTTTTGTATTTTTTGTAGAGATGAGGTTTCACCATGTTGCCAAGGCTGGTCTTGAACTCCTAGGTTTAAGCAATCCACCTGCCTTGGCCTCCTAAAGTGTTAGGATTACAGGCGTGAGCCACTGCACCCAGTGATTTATTTTTAATAAATGTAAAAATCATTCTTAGCTCTTGGGCCAAATAAAATAGGCTTGCAGACCAGATTTGGCCTGGGAGGTATAGTGTGGACTGGTCCAGGCTCTTACTCTCAGACTTCCCTGTGGGCCTCACCAGTCTATTTTACAGTGGCTGCTTTCCTTCCTTTCTGCCACTGTTGATAGAACTGGAGAGACATTGCATGTGACTCATATCAAAAGAGAAAGATTCTTTTAATAAATCTTTCCATACTATCTATAAGATTTTTTTTGTTTTACTTCTTAAACATCTAAGAGGAGATTATAAAATGACATTATAAAACTAGATAGGTTATAATAGATTTTCTTTTGTTTTTTAAGAACAATGTTTTTAGGCCTACTAACATTACTTAATAAAAAGAGCAGATATTTAAGGGACTGTACATTTTTATTTAATAAACCACATGACAAAACAACACTTTAATAAATGTATAGGAAATTACAATTTGAAAGTTGCAAATACAGTACATATATATATATATATATATATATTTATACTTTGATCTTAATTAACAAGGACACACCCCAGCTTCAAAATCTTTCTAAAATCAACCATATGCAAAATACTTGGTTTCTGAAAGGGCATATGATAAAGTATATACAATTTCTTAAGCTGTGATATGGCATATTTAAGAACATGTATTTATTTAGAGAAGCATAAACTTTCCAAATATACAGTATCTTCTAGGCAGAAAGATGACATACTGGCACGTTTCAATTTTTTGTTGCAGTTATTTCAGAATATACTAAATTGCACTATTTAAATGGACACTGTCATAGATTTAACTGGGGAAGTCTCCATAAATGTTTTCCAGTTTTATGAAAAATCAAATTGGTCCTCAATGATTGGAAGAGGAGGTTAAACCCTTTATAAGTGAGAAATGAATCACTGGCTGGCCCGAGTGCACACATATAATTCAATACTGAGGAACTCCCACAACACTGTCTTCTAATTTGCATGCTCCCATGAACATCACAAATAATATACCTGATTGGCAATCAGTAAAACAAATCTCAAGCCCTGGCTGTCAAGGTTCACATGACATATCTGGAGTTAGGGTTTGCAAAGGTATTATGGCTACAGGGCTATTAAGCTTTATCAATTATTTGGAGATCAGACTTGCCTCCCCCCTCAACATAGCGTATAGTGATGTGTGACTGTTCGTTTATGACTAATACCCAGCTGGCTCATGAGCTTGGCCTGGTTCAAAGACAAACTGAACCAAATGAACTAATCTTGGATCTAGGAAACACTCTAACTTTAAATTTGGTATATACAATTCAGAGCCAACAGCACAATTTTCCTAAAAAACTTATTTCAAAGGGGCTCATGTTCTATAAGAACACATTATGTTGAACTCATTAACATAAATGCATAAAAGGAAAATAAATTTAGCTAACAGTGCTTCAGAATCAAATGATTAAGTCTACAAAAGCTGTGAGAGTGGCTATTTGAGAAACACGGCCCAGAGTGTTCTTAGCAATGACGTTTACTGGTGGTTGTGCAGCGTCGTCTCTTTGTCTGCCACACTTCCTCTATGCAGTCCAGTATGCAGAGAAATCTGGATCAGGAATAACCAGCCATTTTAAAAAGGTTCTTTCCTACCTGGAAATACATTTCTAAGTGGTGCCTTGTCTCTGAAAGATGGCTTTCCTCACATTAAAATGAGAGAGAAGCTCACGTGTCTGATCTTGACTATGTCTATTCTGAAAGTCTACCAAAGACAAACACTGTCAGGTGGAACACCTGGGTTCAAGAGGAACACTAAGTCTTGTAAGAGCAACAAACTCAGTTTTAGAGAATGGAAATAAAGCACCCAAAATTGAGAAGAAAACAGTAAAATGAGAAACCCAGTGATGTCAGTGGCAAAAAACACTGATGGGAACTGTAAGTTGTGAAAAATCTGCACTCACATTACATAAGACATAGCTAATGGAAATGTATGCAGGAATTACAATAGCTTCAAGTTCTGCATATCAAAACCTTCTGAAATAAGCTTTCTTCAATTACACTCCCATTATGTTTCTAAGGCAGCATTAACTGTTAGTGGAATAATAGGTCTTTTCCTGAAACAGGTCAAAAGGCTACATCTGGCCACAGTTGTGAAACACAGGTTTATGTACGTTATTTGCAAATATTAACTAAAATATATCACACCAAAATACTGCCAAGTTTTTATGTTGTGGTCTGTGGTCCTGTCATAATCTGTTTTCCCAGGGCAAAATTAACAATGCTGTGTTCATCCAACTCAGCCACTGCTTTTCCTTCTTTCTGTTTTTTCTTTTCTTTTTTTTTTTTACTAGATTGTCTCCACTTTGTTGTGAGACAGCCACTGCTTTTCACAGGGCATAGAACTCTTTGATAGCTCAGCTGAGAAGTGTAATGCATGGCTGTAGCTCAACGAGTTAAGGATAGACCAAACACTGTCAGAAGTCGTTTAGTCCTTGGTCCTATCTGCTAAGTTAACATCCTTTTCTGTTGGTTTTGTTAAGTTACAAAAAGTGGAATCTATCAATTCTCAAATCTCATAGACTCAGTAAGGTACAGATACAAAATATGCAGTTCTTGCTACAAAAAAAAAAAAAGCACAGGAAACTTTATGTGTACCTCACTTTAGGCAGAACACAACAGTTAAGATTAACAAAAGTTTTCATGGCCAGGTGGGGTGGCTCACACCTATAATCCCAGCACTTTGGGAGGCCTAGGTGGAAGGATTTCTTGAGCCCAGGAGTTCAAGACCAGCCTGGGCAACATAGGAAGACCCAATCTCATTTAAAAAGAAAAAAAGAAAAAAAGATTTACAAAAGTTTTCAGTGTTTCTGTATTTTACAAAAGGATTCTTTTTGGCTGGGTGCAGTGGTTCATGCCTGTAATCCCAGAATTTTGGGAGGTTGAGGCAGGCAGATCACTTGAGCTCAGGAGTTCAAGACCAGCCTGGGCAACATAGCAAAACCCTGTGTCTACCAAAAATACAAAAAATTAGCCAGGTGTGTGCTGGTGCATGTCTGTGGTCCCAGCTACTTGGGAGGCTGAGATGGGAGGAACACTTGAGCCTGGGAAGCAGAGGCTGCAGTGAGCCAAAATTGTGCCACTGCATTCCAGCCTGGGTGACAGTGAGACACCATCTTAAAAGAAAAAAAAAATTCAATCTGCAAATTAATTTAGCTTGTTTTATCAAATACATTTTTTTTTTCTTTCTTAAGACTGAATCTTACTCTTGTTGCCCAGGCTGGAGTGCAATGACTCAATCTCCCCTCACTGCAAACTCCGCCTCCCGGGTTCAAGTGATTCTCCTGCCTTAGCCTCCCCAGTAGCTGGGATTACAGGTGCCTGTCACCACGCCCAGCTAATTTTTTGTATTTTTAGTAGAGATGGGGTTTCACTATGTTGGTCAGGCTAGTCTCGAACTCCTGACCTCAGGCAATCGCCTCAGCCTCCCAAAGCGCTGGGATTACAGGGGTGAACTACCACACCTGGCTTATCAAATACATTTTTAAGGAATAGGTTGGTATGAAAAGCCAGACACTTCTCCATAAGATAAAGAAACATTTATAAGAAACAAGCTCAATAGATATGAAAAAATGATTAGGGTATGATGAATTTTTTTTCCTTTTTACTTGCCAGATACTCAAAGTCTATAAATATGTCCAGATGTCCACTGAAATAGCTCTCATTTATTCTGACTTGCTTTCTATATGTAATAACATTTTGATTTAAATAGTTTATATGTTCCTGAAATTTTTGAGAAATTCAAGTCATTATTTTAAGTGACTTCACAATAGAAATCCCATCATGTAAATTTTCTTTTCCTTCTTTTTGTTTGAGACAGGGTCTCATTCTGTTGCTCAGGCTGGAGTGCAGTGGTGTGGACACAGCTCACTGCAGCCTCAACCTCCTGGGCTTAAGCACTTCTGCCACAGCCTTTACAAGTAGCTGATACTACAAGTGTGCACCACCAGGCCTGATTAATTTTTACATTTTTGTGGAGACAGGGTCTCCCCATGTTGCCAGAGTGGTCTTGAACTCTTGGCCTCAAGGGATACTCCCAGCTTGGCCTCTCCAAATGCTGGGATTACAGACATTAGCCACCACTGTGTCTGGCCACAAAAATTTTCAGTTCAATTCAACAAATGCCTACTGGGTTTCATTAGTGGGACCATCAATTCTTTTATTGACACCATTAACTCCCAACAATCTTTTTTTTTTTTTTTTTTTTTTTGGGACGGAGTTTCACTCTTGTTACCCAGGCTGGAGTGCAATGGCGCGATCTCGGCTCACCGCAACCTCCGCCTCCTGGGTTCAGGCAATTCTCCTGCCTCAGCCTCCTGAGTAGCTGAGATTACAGGCACGCGCCACCATGCCCAGCTAATTTTTTGTGTTTTTAGTAGAGACGGGGTTTCACCGTGTTGACCAGGATGGTCTCGATCTCTTGACCTCGTGATCCACCCGCCTCGGCCTCCCAAAGTGCTGGGATTACAGGCTTGAGCCACCGCGCCCGGCCTAACTCCCAACAATCTTATAGGTAAATCTGGGTTTTCTTATGTTAGGTTTATTTATAGTAAAATGATGAAATGTTTCCTATTCTTCATTTATATTGTAAGTCATTGGCATGCCTATCTAGAATTTCAACTCACAATTTGCCTGGTATATTGTTACTCTACTCTGGTTCTTAGAGGAGCCTAAGAACCATATCCATTCTTGGTGTAAGAAACTGTCACTGTAGAAAAGGGACTCCAAATGTGCATAAAAGGTAATCTTAAAACCAATGGCTGTGAAATGAAACATGACCAGTCAAGCTGCCTCTTTAACAGGAGCATTTACAAATTAGGTTGCCTTCAGTTTGGAAACCTCTGTGTTTAGTTTCCCTGCCACACAGATTTAATGTCCATCCCTATCTAATGCTTTGCTTTAAAACACACACATACAGGCCAGGCGTGCTGGCTCATGCTGTAATCCCAGCACTTTGGGAGGTGGGCAGATCACCTGAAGACAGAAGTTTGAGACCATGGCGAAACCCCGTCTCTACTAAAAATACAAAAAAATGAGCTGGGGTGGTGGCGCGTACCTGTAGTCCCAGCTACTTGGGAGGCTGAGGCAGAAGAATCACTTGAACCCAGGAGGCAGAGGGTGCAGTAAGCAGAGGTCACGCCGCTGCACTCCAGCTGGGTGACAGAGTGAGACTGTCTCAAAAACAAAAACAAAACCACACACATACATAAGGTCAAAAATCCTTTACATTTCTGTTTTCTCAAAGTAATATCCTCCCCCAGCCCCTTGGGCATTTCTGCTTTGATACTACTGGAAACCCTCAAAATTGAATTTTAGGATTCTGGAGTGCACAGAGAATCCCTAACCCATATCATAAAACATCAAATGTATCATAAAACATAACCCTCTTCGCCTCTTAGGTCTGAGAAAAAAAAAACATAACCCATATCGTAAAACATAAAATTCTCTCTGGAGTAATGTTGTTAAACTGTATGTGAAAGGTGGGAATTATAAACTGAACCCTCTACACAGACGACTTGGTGTGGAGGCAGGAACCAACGTATGACGCTTTTTGTACCAACTATTGGCAGTTCTTAAAGGGACAGAGATTATTGTTTACATTTTGCAATCTCTTGCTTTTTTAAGACAATTCCATGAATGATGAAAGTGATGTTGGGAAGACATAAACCTGAAACTCCAGCCCCCATCCTCGTTCCTTTATCTCATTTTAAATCATCAAACAGTAATTTGAGTTTAAGACTAACAGCCATTCAGAATAATACTGAAAGTATTTCCTAAATCATTTAATGACAGTGACCATAATATGTAAAGATTTGGTTCTAAGGTTATAAATAATCAAAAATGTTAACTTTGAGATTCAAAACCCTGTAGCATCTGTAAAAGGCTGTTTATAAAGTTTAACCATAACAGTATCATTAAGACTTATTTATGAAAAAAAATTTCTGAAACACGTAGGAATACATGCTTATTCCATTTTCAGGATAACTACTAGTAATTTCTGAAATCTGTTGGGTAGTAATTTCTGTAAAAAGAAAGCAGCAATTCCAGAAGCTGGGTGTCATGATTATTATATGTAATTTTAAAAATTCAGTTTTCCAGCACTGGCTTAATATAAAATAGCCTTAAAAAGTTTTTTTTCTTTTTTGAGATGGAGTCTGGCTCTGTCGCCCAGGCTAGAGTGCAGTGGTTTGATCTTGGCTCACTGCAACCTCCACCTCCTGGGTTCAAGTGATTCTCCTGCCTCAGCCTCCCAAGTAGCTGGGATTACAGGCACCTGCAACCAAACCCACCTAATTTTTTTGTATTTTTAGTAGAGACGGGGGTTTCACTGTGTTGGCCAGGCTGGTCTTGAACTCCTGACCTTGTGATCCACCTGCCTCGGCCTCCCACACTGCTGAGATTACAAGCGTGAGCCACAGCACCCAGCCCTTAAAAAGTATTTTTAAATGGAAATAATGAATTCTTGATGCTTCCTTTAAGACATGTACTCTGTCAAATTAATGACGTATAATCTTGGATTGTCTTCTATGAGGTATGTGTAGTCACGTCTCATTCTGTAAACAGTGTTTGGGAAACATCTCCATCTGAAAATTATGGCAAAGTCTCATTTTACCATGAAACAGAGACTAGCACTGTCAGGCTGGGGTGACTGTAATTGAGAGACTGTTGCTTGATATGGACACAGCTGTCAGGGATTCCATGTTCTCATTTAGGTTTGCATTTATTGCTCTCAAGTCTGTGACTGCAGGATAAATAAGGCAGGAGTCCCAAAAATATATAAAATTAGGGACTAGAACTCTGACAATTTGCACAAGTTCTGTCCACTTCTTGCCTGTAACTCTGAAGCTGAATAGTACATCTATACATGCCAAATGTGTTCAATAATAAATGGTTTGCTTTGGATTGTACTTCTTCCCATTTAGATGAACTTCCAGGAACTGCAATGTCAAGAAAATATCATTACTATTTATTGTACAATTACACCTCTAATAAGATACAGAAAAGAAACCCCAAATATACTGGGAATGTATTTTTATCAGTCTGATTTCTATCCTCTCTAAGCTATTCTGTTAGAGAAGTATGTCAATTTATACATCCTTAATGGCTTCTCATTATTCTAACCTCTCCAGTCTCTCTACCCTCAGGTAGAGAAAGAATACCAGACATCAATAACCTGTCATTAAAAGATCTTATGCACATTAAAAGTAAACCTCATGCATGTATTATTTTGATTAAAAAACATCAATAGCATCAATCTGTGAGATAAATAACAAGGTAAAAATCTGGCTTTTCCTATGTAGAAAAGAGCATGAGAAATATATATATATTTTTTTCCCTTGAGATGGAGTTTCACTCTTGTTGCCCAGGCTGGAGTGCAATGGCCCTTCTTAGTTCACTGCAGTCTCTGCATCCTGGGTTCAAGCGATTCTCCTGCCTCAGCCTACCAAGTAGGTGGGATTACAGGTGCATGTCATCACACCTGGCTAATTTTTGTATTTTTAGGAGAGACAGAGTTTCATCATGTTGGCCAGGATGGTCTTGAACTCCTGACCTCAGATGATCCACTTACCTTGGCCTCCGAAAGTGCTGGGATTACAGGCATGAGCCACTGTACCTGGCTGAGAAAAACTCTTACTACCTTTAATCTGAAGGTTAAAATCAATTTGTAATATCTTATCCTAAAGAGATGGAAAATTATTGTTCTGGGTTAGGTGCGGTGGTTCACGCCTGTAATCCCAGCACTTTGGGAGGTGGGCAGATCACAAGGTCAAGAGATCAAGACCAGCCTGGCCAACATGGTGAAACCCTGTCTCTACTAAAAATATAAAAATTAGCTGGGCGTGGTGGTGGGAGCCTGTAATCCCAGCTACTCAGGAGGCTGAGGCAGAAGAATTGCTTGAAGCTGGGAGGCATAGGCTGCAGTGAACTGAGATCATGCCATTGCACTCCATCCTGGGCGTCAGAGCAAGACTCAGTCTCGAAAAAAAAAAAAATTACTGTTCTGGTATCAAGACTGACCTGCAACTTACCCTTTAAAGAGCCTCACCCCTCCCTTAAAACAAATCTTTTCAGTAGGTAAGTCTTCCTACATAATTATACGCATGGATGTTTAGTTTCAAAGACAGAACTCCACCAAACCCCAGGCCCACGTTTACTATCAGCAACATACTTAGCTGTATGTGAACTATGGCAGTAGATTTTCCTGAAGTGAGAGACCAGATATTTAAATCTTCCACTGAATATACATCTTCTATTTTCATCAAGGCTTCTTTGATATAGTCTACATTCAAATGGCTGGGCACACCTATTAGGAATATGTAATTTATATGTAAAATTTATTTAGGAAAAAGAGAACTTTTACATTACCGGTATTTCTCAAAGAAAACAAATGGCTTTACTAAATTCAGTTTAAACAAATACTTTAAAATATTAATACTTCAAGAAAACCACATACACATATATTTTTATTAAAAATGTAAAACATATACAAGAGGGTAATACATATTTTAAAAACATATTCATTCTCACTAAGAAGAAATGCCAATCAAACCAGAATACTTCATTAGCAGATAAGCTATGATAGACAAAAAAAAGGAAAGAGAAAAACATATAGTGATGATAAACCTATTGTTGAGAACTTTTATTTTCATGTTTATACATATCACTAAGGGAAGGATGCAGTAAATATAACAAAGTCACAAGCTAAGTGGGAATTAAGGAAATCCTACCTAGAGTTGCATTTTTGTCCTCGTGCTATGGTTTATTAGCAACATGACTTTAACCAAAGTATGTTATCCCTCTGAACCTCAATTTTCTTATCTGTAAATGGAGATAATTTGCCACATTATCTGCCTTACCTACTTTGCTTAACTATTATAAGTGTCAAATGGGTAAGAGATGGGAAAGTGCATTGATCCTTATATACATGTAAGGTACTGTTATATGGCCTAATAGGTATTAGTAGAAAGCAAAAGATGTAATTCCTATTCAGAATATCCTGTGACTCCTAATCTGCTTTAGGGAAGTAATAAACTCATAATAAAGATATTAGTGAGATCTTACCTTCTAGTATTATAACTACTGTATCCCATATGATTCGAAATGTTGTAAAAGCCACAAGTAATGAAAATACATATGTACAGATGGGATCAGCAATCTTGTATTCTGGCTAAAGAGTAACAGATAAAAATTTATGATTAAATATAGACAGACATAAAACAGACTACAAAGCAAAACAAGGAATATTGATTTTCTTTAGCAGGACTATACATTAACTTTAAAAGTTGGATATTATAATTGAGAAGCATCTTTATCCTAGACATTTACATCACTTGCCTCATGGGACCTATTTCTAGAAATGTAATCACTTGTTCTATTGTTCCCTGTGCTGTCTCCAAATCTTCTAGAATATCAGAGCTGGAAAGAAGTGTGTGCGTGCGTGTGTGTGTGTGTGTGTGTGTGTGTGTGTGTGTCTTGCTATCATAGGTACAGCTCTGTACCCAGCTCTGGAAACAGTTTTAGCAGCCACTAGTCTAAGCCCCTTGTAATGAAGAAGAAACTCAAGTTTCGAGTTGAGGTACTTGCTCTCAAGGTCAAAGCACTAACAGCAGAGCCAAAACTAGAACCAACCCAGATCTCTGGATTTTTGGTCCAGAGCACATTTCACTACCTAGCAATTCAATCACGAGACTTAAAATACAGTTATCTGCGCAAGTATGGTGGCTCATGCTGTAATCTCAGCACTCTGGGAGGCTGAGGTGGGTGGATCTCTTGAGCTCAGGAGTTTGAGACCAGCCTGGCCAACATGGCAAAACCTTGTCTCTATTAAAAATACAAAAATTAGCTGGGCATGGTGGCATGTGCTTCTAATCTCAGCTACTTGGGAGGCTGGGGCATGAAAATCACTTGAGCCTGAAAGGCAGAGGCTGCAGTGACCCAAGACTGTGCCACTGTACTCCAGCCTGGGTGAGAGACTGAGACTCTGTCTCAAAAGAAAAAAAGAGAAGAAAATTTGTTATTCAGTGAAGGCACTACAAAAGCCAAATACAGAAAAGTTACATTGTGAGGTGATATAATTTTGTTTACTGCTAGCAAAAGAACTTTAATGATGGTCAAGTAAACTTACATCAATGTAAAATGAATAGAACTGGCATTGGTGTCCAGTATACTAATAAAAGACAATCAGCCTTAGTTGTCATGTTGAAATTAAATACATTTTAAAATAGAAAAATTAGCAATCATATTACCTTGAATCGTATGATGTATGCGGCTATTAGCACACCAACACTCTGTACCAAATCCCCCAAAGCATGTACAAATGCAGCTCTCACTGCCAGGCTATCCTGCCCATGGTTGCGTTCACACCCAGAACCTATGGCAGGAGGATTTGAAGGCCGGGAGTGGGAATGGGAGTGATGGTGACCAGACTGGTTCAACAGAAACCCCATTCTGTTAAAAATAAAAGAAAATATTATTATTTTTCCTAATATTGACAAAAACATTTGTTACTAGTCAGACACTAATGAGGTAACATGGAACTCACCTTTTTAATAAATTTAGAGTGCCTATTATTTATCAGGTACTGTTCTAGGTGCTGGGGTCAAAACGGTAATAAGATAGACATATCCCTACCCCCACAGAGCTTATGTTCTAGTAGAGAAAGCAGAGAAGCCAACAAATAAATACATAATGTATAGCCAGGCAATGTGAAATGCTTTAGAGAAACATAAAGCATTTTAAGGGGATGGAGATGATGGGCAGAGTTTTAGGGGAAGGATTCTCAGATTTTCTCTTGAGCAGATACCTGAAGGAGGTCAGAAAGCAAGTGGTCGAAGAGGGTTCTAGGCAGAAGAAAAGCAAAGCAAAGCCCCTAACGTGAAAATGTGCTCTTTGTACTTGAAAAAGAAAGACAGTCACTGTGGTCAGAATAAAGTGAGCAAAAGTGTCAAGAGATGAGTTGTAGAGGTATGCAGTCTTAATAACAATGCTACGGCAAAAAATTTGATTTCATTCTAAGTACAAAAAGAAGCCACTAGGGCAGATTGGTAAACTGCGGCTGGCAGATAATATTTGGCTCGCTGATTTTTCTTTTTACATAAAAAAAAAAAACACAGCCATGTTCATTTGGAACACAGCCAGGTTCATTTGTTTACATTCTAAGTGTGGCTGCTTTTGTTTTATAACAACAGTGTTGAGTAGTTTTGAAAGAGAATATATGGGCAGGAGGAGGGGGAGGGAAATAAGAAAAAAAAAAAGAGAATATATAGATCTCAAAGCTTAAAATGTTGACTATCTAGCCTTTTACAGAAAAAAATTGCTAACTCTAGTCTAAATGATTATAACTTCTTTTTTTTGTTTGTTTTTGAGACACGATCTCTCTCTCTGTTTCCCAGGCTGGAGAGCAGTGGCCCAATTATAGCTCAATGCGGTCTTGATCTCCTGTGCTTAAGTGACCTTCCCACTTCAGCCTCCCAAGCAGCTGGGACCACAGGCACGAGCCACCGTGCCCAGCTAATTTTTATTTTGAGTAGACATGAGGCCTCATTATGTTAGGCCATGCTGTCTTGAACTCCTGAGCTTAAGTGAGCCTCCCACCCTGGCTTTCCAAAGTGCTGGGATTATAGGTGTAAACCACTGTACCTGGCCTATGTTAAACTTTCAAAAGTTTCTTCCCTAAAAAGTTTTGAGGGAAAAAAATTGACAAAGAAAAAAAATCTAGTTAACATAAAAGTATTCTAAAAGTTAAACAACAAACAACTTCGTCCTACTTAAATTCATGATTTTAACTCAATCTCCAATATACCTGAGAAAATTAATGAGGAATTTATAATGTCCAAAGTGTTTCATTTATAAGAAAAATTAATGACCTATATAATTTTTAAAATATCAAAATATCACTGCACATTACTAAATGCATATGCAATAGTCTCAGAGTTCACAGTACTTGAAAATATTAATGTGAAAAAAACAGGGCTTACATTACATTAACTGCAACTCCAACAGCTGCGGTGATGAGCATTATATCTCCATTTATTTCATAGTTCATATGGATAGTTCTTTGCACAGCTTCATATAAGAGGAATCCCATAAGTATATACACCAACAGCACACTAATCATAGCTGACAAAACCTCTAGAGGGAAAAATATATGTAACAAATACATTTTCAGTATGGTTATTATACTTCATCCAATGAAACAGTCTTTTTAATATTCTTTCCTCTAAGGAGATAAAAGTCTCATATAATTTTTGTCACGCCATTTTTCTTTCTTTTTTTTTTTTAGATAGAGTCTCCCTCTGTCACCTAGGCTGGAGTGCAGTGGCACGATCTCAGCGTACTGCAACCTCCACCTTTCAGGTTTAAGCAATTCTCCGCTTCGGTCTCCCGAGTAGCTGGGATTACAGGCATGCACCACCATGCCTAGCTAATTTTTTGTATTTTTAGTAGAGATGGGGTTTCACCATCTTGGCCAGGCTGGTCTTGAACTCCTGACCTAGTGATCCACCCAACTCAGCCTCCCATAGTGCTGGGATTACAGGCGTGAGTCACCGTGCCCAGCCTTGTCACGTCATTTTTCTTATTTTTTGAGACAGGGTGTCACTCTCTCACCCAGGCTGGAATGCAGTGGCCTGATCATGACCATAGTTCACTGCAGCCTTGATCTCCCAGGCTCAAGTGATCCTCCCATCTCAGCCTCCAAGTAGCTGGTACTACCGGCACATGCCATCACACCTGGCTAGTCGTTTTTCTTATTTAAAAAGTGTTTAGCATGTATAGAAAAAACAACTTGTTTAGCAACTTGACTGATCTGGATCCTCCACTAATTTACCCTTCTCTCTCCCCATCCTCCACTCATCTCTCTCCAGAGTCAAATTATGTATATTTACAGATCATTATGTGCATTTTTACCATGCAAGGTAAAAAATGACAAAATGAGAAAAAAGATTTGTAACATATGTGACCACAGACTAATTTTTTGATATTAAAAGGTACACTCAAATGTTGGTAATAGGCCAGGTGCGGTGGCTCATGCCTATAAATCCCCCAACACTTTGGGAGGCTGAGACAGAAGGATCACTTGAGCCCATGAGTTTGAGATCAGCCTGGGCAACATGGTGAGACTCCATGTCTTTTTGTTTTTTCCTTCCTTTCATGTCAAATGGATAATGTGCCAACGTTGTAACAAGTTTCCAGGGTGGCACATCTCACACATGTATGTGAACACCCAACTATCACACTTACGAACTACAAGAGGATCAAGACTCTTATCTCTAAAAAATATTAAAAATTAGCTGGACATGGTGGTGAGTGCGTGTAGTCCCAGCTACTTGGGGTGCTGAGGTGGGAGGATTGTTTAATCCCAGGAGGTCGAGGCTGCAGTGAACTGTGTGCTACTGGACTCCAGCCCAGTCTCCACAGCGAGACCCTGTCTCAAAAAAAAAAAAAAAAAAAAAAAGAAAAAGAAAAAGAAATCAATTAAAAAAATGGCTAAAGGACATCAATAGTAATTCATACTACAGAAATGGCCAAATCCTTAATATATCATAATAAATGAAATTCAAATAGGAATAAGATTTATTTCCTCCTACTAAATTGGCAAATTTTTTTTGAAAATCAAAAGTTTGATAATAGAGATAGCAGGGATCTACTGGTGGAAATATCAAATAGTATTACCTTTTTGGAGAGCCAACTGGTAAAGCTAATCAAAACTTAAAACATACACATTCCTTCATCTAACAGTTCTACCTCTAGGACTCTACTTGATAGAAACACCTCCATGTGTGCAAAGATATGTACAATGTTTTCACTGTAGCATTGCCTATAGTATCCAAAAAAATATCTGAGACATCCTATATGTCCACTGAAGAGGAACTTCGTAAGTTATGATTTATACATATATAGTGGGGATACCACACAGACATTTATTTTCAAAAAAAGAAAAAAAAGAAAAACAAAAATCAAATAAATTGATAATCACAAGGAAGTATTACATTTGGAAAGTGGTACTAGAAGTTTAGGGGATTTATTTTTCACTGTATTCTTTTAGGTAATATTTGAAGTGTTTTAAGTTTTTACCATAAATGCATATTACCTTTAGACTAAAAAAACTTTTTTAAGGCATGCAAATATTCATGCCTTCATGAAGGCTGTTCATTAAATGTTGTATATAATAGCAAATTATTGGAAACAACAAAAAAAAGTGATTAGTAGGGACCTTGTAACATGGAATACCATGCATGTAAAAAGAAGAATAAAAAAGCTTATTCTGGTAAGGAATAATGCTCCACACATAGCATTATGTGGAAAAAAGCAAAGTACACATCTGTGTATGATGTTACCATTTGTGTTAAAAAGAAAAAAAAGAATATAAAAATAATCACCTGTAAACACAATCTCTAGAAGCATTATACAAAATACTCATTAAAGACTGGTTATCAGCTGGGCGCGGTGGCTCACGCCTGTAATCCCAGCACTTTGGGAGGCTGAGGTGGGTAGATCACAAGGTCAGGGTATCGAGACCATCCTGGCCAACATGGTGAAACCCTGTCTCTACTAAAAATACAAAATTAGCTGGGCATGGTGGCATGCGACTGTAGTCCCAGCTACTCAGGAGGCTGAGGCAGGAGAATTGCTTGAACCTAGGAGGCAAGGGTTGCAGTGAACCGAGACTGTGCCACTGCACTGTAGCCTGGGCGACAGAGTGAGACTCCTCAAAAACAACAACAACAAAAAACAACCTGGTTATCTCGGGTGAGGACAACTGGTGGCTGGGAGACAGGGATGAGCTTGCCCTATATATGCCTTTGTATCATCTGACTTTTCTACCATGTAAATATAAAGCAAAATAATTTTGTATCTTTTCAAAATAACAAAAAGAGCAATATGAAGTATATTTAAAAACAATTAATGTTATTACATGAAACAAGGGTTGACCCTCAAACAATAAAAGCAAGAAAATAATTTAAAGAAAAATTTGCCTTTAGAGAAACCTGACATTAATCCTCTGTAAGTGTTAAAAGGTAAAATAATCTGAAAAACTGTTATGTGGAATAACTCACTGCTCAAAGTTGTTTAAGTATATTGAACTTTGACACATTTTCATTTCAATGTATAAATTATAACAAAAAACTTATCTAGCAATTACAGGCTCTTTTCTGAAGACACCTAATTAATGTAGTCAAAGCTATAAAAACCTGTGCATCAATAGAACAGATATTAGAACAAAAACATATACCATTTCTATTAAAAAACCATGAAACACCTATTCCTAACATACAGATAATCATACTTGGAAAGAGTTATATTAATATATTTAAAAAAGAGATATAAGCTGAAAAAGAGAAAACACTTAATGAAATATACAAAGCTATGGTGAGACGTCTATATTAAGTACAGACTATACATTCTTTGAGGATATGGTCCAAGTTGTAGTCCATGTCATATTTACTGTGGTACTTAGCAGAGTAGTTCACTTATAGCAGGTATTCAAATATTTATGGATGATTTTGTAGAAATAAATTAGTTAAGGGTTAAGCAAGGGAAAATAAAAGGCTACACAATTAAGAAAATAAAGCTAAATATGAATAATAGGTTATTCCTTAATCCCCCAAAAACAGAAAGTAAATAGGTTAAAAGAGAAGGCATAAGCCAAATAAAAGAAAACACATGGAATTTCTTGTCGAAGTTGTAACTGCTGATGGTAAAGTAAACATACAAAAATACTGCAAAGAGGCTGGGTGCGATGGCTCATACCTGTAGTCCCAGCACTTTGGGAGGCCGAGTTGGGCGGATCACCTGAGGTCAGAAGTTCAAGACCAGCCTGCCCAACATGGTAAAACTCCATATGGACTGAAAGTACAAAAATTAGCTGGGTGTGCTGGCAGCTGCCTGTAATCCCAGCTACTCAGGAGGCTGAGGCACAGGAATTGCCCATACCTGGGAGGAGGAGGTTGCTGTGAACTGAAATTGTATCACTGCACTTCGGCCTGGGTGACAGAGCGAGGCTGTCTCAAAATAAATAAATAAATAGTAATAAATAAATACAGTAAAGAAGAAGAAATAATTTAAAAAATTTGAAACTGTAGAATCTCATGTACTTGTGGTAGCCTCCTACCACCTGGAGAACTTTAACCAGTATAAAGACTGAAGCTAGCAGTCAGGTCACCATTAATTTTTAAGGTGCCCTAACCAAAATTTTAATATAAAAATTATAAAGCAAGTAGTGTCTCACACCTGTAATCCCTGCTACTTTGGAAGCTAAGTGGGGGAGGATCACTTGAGGTCAGCAGTTCAAGACAAGCCTGAGCAACATAGTGTGACCCTGTTTCTCCCCCCAAAATTGACTAAGTGTGGTAGTTTATACCTGTCATCCCAGTTACTTGGGAGTTTGAGGCAGGTGGATCACTTGGAGTTTGGGGCTGCAGTGAGCTATGACAGTGCATTACTACACTCCAGCCAAGGGGATAGAGCAAGACCTCTGTCACTCAAAAAATTTTTTACAAAGCAGTACACTTTACATTTACAAAGATTCATAGCCACACAAGGTAATGGCATAGAGATGTGCTTAGTAATGAAATTTAAAACCCATAATTAAAATTTACTTCAAAACCCTTTATATAATTAGGTTGTCTATAGTTTCCAATTTTTCCGGGATAGTACTAGTTTATGTTTGCTGTCCTGGCATGATTATGAATAGTGCCCCATTTCACTCTCAAAACTGTTCTGGTTTGGATGATAAATTATAATTACCCTAGTAGGTCTATCAGATAGAATATTGGATGGCCAGTTAAATTTTTATTTCAGACAACAAACAATTATTTAGTGTAAGTATGTCCTATGCAATATTTCAGACATATTAGGCATCCTGTGAGTATGCTAAATCTGACAAACCCCACACTCCCGTGATTTTACTAAACCACTTAAAAATCGCCTTTTTGTCAATTCTCAGATAAGGCAAACTTACATTGAAGATAAAGTGAAATGAAAGTCAAACAAAAGGCATGAACAGAGCTCCTTGGCAGGATTCCCACCCTTACGAGGCCCACTCTACTCTGGCAGCCTACAGCTGAAAAGTCAGTTCTCTATGCCACAGTTTTCACCCACATAAGCAGACAAGAGATTCTAATGCCTGCCTGAAGTTAACTGTAATGGAATTCAGCTGATTCCTAGAAACTCCTGAAATGTCATATTCAGATACTGCTATCAAAGATATCCCTTTTCCAGTCATTAATAAGGAGTGTGCCTCATTAATAAAGAATGAGGTCCACTTGGTGACAAGCAAAGATATTGATCTGTTGTCTTTTATTCTAATCACCTGCCAAAATGTATTCTAGGATAGATTAGTAACAAGTGCAAAAGGAAAAAAAAGAAAGTAAACTTTAAAGTGATTTTTAGGGCTGAGATTTATAATTGGAAGTATAAAGCATAAACAATACTATCTAACTAAAAATTCTAAGAGCAGAAATGTAACAATTTATTGATAAAAAGCTCTTTTGTTTGAATACATTATGCTTTAGTGAAATACCATAAATAGGACTAACTTAGGGTTCAAACATTTTTCATTCATAATATTCTGAACATGATGGAATGCAGATAAAAATAGGCAAAATTCAGCTCCCTCCCTCTCCCCCGTTTAAGAGAGAGGGAAGCTCTGGCCAGGCGCGTTTAGTGGATTGTAATCCCAGCATTTTGGGAGGCCGAGACAAGCAGGTCACAAGGTCAGGAGATCGAGAAAGAGAAGCTTTCAATCAACTACCAAATTATGACCTGCTCCAATTTTCTCATTCTTGTTCTGGGTTGGTCTTCAGTCACATAACTTACAATAAAGTTTTCCAAGACAAAAGAAGTACATATCAGATGACTATTTCATTTTCTTAAAGGAAACTCGGAAACTTTCACAGTTAAAATCCTCGATTTCTGTGAAAGTTACCACGCCATTAGCTTTAGATAAATTTTTTTTTTTTTTTTTTTTAAATAATAGAGACAGGGTAACACTATGTTGGCTAGGTTGGTCTTAAACCCCTTGTCTTAAGCAATCCTCCACCTCAGCCACTTTATGTGAACTTGAATGGTCCTATTTCAATCTAAACGGAAATTTAGCATTTAAAAGTCTTGAAAATAGGGCTTCATGAAGAAATATATTGTTTGAAAAAAAGAAAAAAATAAAACTAAAAAAATAAGTCTTGAAAAGTGGGAGGGTGTGGTAGCTCATGCCTATAATCCCAGCACTTTGGGAGGCTGAGGAGGGCAGATTGCTT